GTAGTTATAAGTGGGGTGATAAGTCCCCTAATATGGGTTATAACCAAAGTTACCAGACTTATGACCCCACTTATAACTACCCATGAACCTCCAAGTAGACCCTATAGCCCCTAAGCCCCTAAACCCCATAAACCCTAAACCGTATAAACCCTTAACCCTATTAGAAACCCCAAGCTTCACTGAGCCGGGGCGCCTTAGGCTCGACATCTGGATTAAGGCCCACCACTCCGGCTGCTTCCTCCTCTTAGTTGCTGAGTTCACAAGCACCAAAAAGTCTACACTTTCGGTTCTAGAAAGGGATCATCTTATCCGGCACTAAACCCTAAACCCTAAACCAAAAAGCCCCTAAACCCTAAACCCTAAACCCAAAAGTTTATTATAAAGTGCACTCATTCACCCTGAACCCTAAACCCTGAACCCTAAACACTAAAGCGACGAAGGTCCTCTGAACTTCGAACTTCTCCTCCAGGTCGGCTTTCCTAGGATCTCCAGTCCCAAACCCTAAGGGTCCAAAGGACCTAATAATCATGTACTTGGGTTACGGATAGTAGTTCTGCAGGTTAGTATTCAGAAGAGTATTTGATTATTAGGTACTTGGACCCTTAGGGAAAGGGTTTCGGGTTTAGGGCTCCCTTGGTGATACTGGGTTTAGGGTTTAGGGTATTTGGGTTTAAGGTTTAGGGTATTGGGTTTAGGGTTTAGGGTAGCTTGGTGGTATTGGGTATAGTTTCTTTCAGGAGCCTAAAACCACAAGAAAGGGTTTATGAGGTTTAGGGGTTAGGGGGTATAGGGGTTATAGGGTTTATAGGGGTTCTAGGGGGTTTCGCTTAACAAAAACAAAAGCTTACTGGGAGATCTAGCTTCGCATGGATAAGCCACTGGATTGGCTTCTCGTGGCCACCAAGGAACATCACCGCAAAGTGAAGGCCGAATCTCATGCTCGTCTCAGGATTCTGGGCTAGAATCTCCTGGGTTCTTGCTAAGGGATTTAATTTAAATTACCATAATAAAGAAACCATATTATTTATTATAGATCCATATTATGGTAACTTAAATTAAATCCCTTAACAAGAACCCAGTCTCTGCCATGGATTCGACAGCTCCATTGCAACAAGCCATATCGAACACGCTCATTCCCAGAACGTTTTGCTTCATAAGGTCGGCGTGCGCCTCGCAGAGCATGCGCAGGCCGTTGGCATTGTTGGCAAGACTGGCCCAGTGCACGGGGGTAGCCCGAGCCACGTCAGCATGATGAGTACTGGCTCGTGCAGCAATCAATGTCTCCATGACCTCTGGGCTAGCAACGCTATATGGACTTCGTATGACTATGTAATCTTGTAACTGGGGTCCTTCTGAACTTTTAGTGTCACGAAAAGCAGACGCATCTAAAGAGAGCAGTTTCAGGAGCATGCCCTGATCATACCAAGGATCCTTCCGGAATCTAGGGTGCATTCCTAAGTTGCTCGGGATCTTGCAAAGCCCTGCCTGGTTGTGGTGAAAATGAGCTGCCAGCGCGAGCACCGGCATACGCCCAGGGAAGAGAGAGCCCTTGCCCTTGGTCACTTGATCCTTGCGTTGCTTATACCCAGACCTTCCAAAATCCCTTAATTAAGGAACAAACCGTCAATCACAACAGGTACGGTACGGTGATTCTATTCTTAATTCAGGAACTTTGAACGGTCTGGGTAATCTATTCGGATAAGCAGTCTACCACAAGTCATCAAGTCCAAATGATCCCCCAGACCCCAGGGAGGATCCCAAAAGTAGATCCCTTAAAAGCCCGAAGGGGTTCCCATAAAGTACCCTTTAGTAGTTTCTTGGAGGTTCATGGGTAGTTATAAGTGGCGTTATAAGTCCCCCCAATATCGGTTATAACTTATAACTGTAAGTTACCTTACTTGCAACCCCACTTATAACTGCCCATGAACCTCCAAGTACGGTCCCAAATTAGGGGATCTACTCTTTGGATCCTCCGGGGGCCTGGGCCATGAACGAACAGGAATCTCCGGCAGCCTTAACAACCTTAGAGCCCTCGACAAACAAACAAACAAACAAAAACTCCCTCAGCACCTACCTAAGGTAGGTTTGTCAGGGATCATTGGGATCTGCCCTCCTCTGCAAAAGCCCTTGGACAAGGGCCACATCGCCTCTGATGACGGCGTAGCACAGGGGCGACCAACCTGCTGGGTCTCGCTCAAGAACTGTTCGGAAACCATTGTGATGCAAGAACCTGGTATAATCGCCAGAGAAGGTGAACAGTTGCGTGGTTTAGGGTCAATTGGTCGTCAGAAAAACTCTCCCATTCTAAGGAACATTTCCTTAGCCTTACAGACATTTCCTAAGCCTCACGAACCCTAACCCTCAACTAAGGAGTGCTGAGTGGCCTGTTATGGCTCGGGGCTCAGAATGCTTTGGAAGCAGACTTTGTAGTTTTTCAGTGTGCGTCTATGCCGGGGTTTAGGGTTTAGGGTGGGTCTGCTGTACGTGAGAACATACCCAAAATGCGCCAACAGCAGCCGAGGAACCATTCCACAGCAAAAGCTGCAGCGTCCTCAAAAGGATCGAGCACTGTCACGAAGCCGGGAATCAAGCTATCAACAGGCTCCACGGGAAGGCCATTGAAACAGCACGCCCCCTGCCGGTTCAGCAAGAACCTGTAGCCAGGAAAATCGCGGCGCTCCAGCAGGAACAACAATTTGTTCCACACCATCTGCACAAGAGTATTCCCAACCGCGGCTTTATCAGACTCGCGGCTCCAGTTTCCGGTCCCGGGCGCATCCAGAATTCGCAAAGCGTCCATGTACAGTGCCTGTTGCTTCGAACACTCCACGACGATGGTGTATCCTGGTTCCAAGTTGGGGTTCTATTAAAAATGATCATTTTTAATCCTTCTTGGGTTTTATCATAACAAAAACTTTAAAATTGTAGCCAACCAGGACCCAGTATCCCCCCTTCCTCGCCGAAAGCTCCCGCGCAAGCCGTTCAGTTCGGCACCATCCTCGAGCCGGGAAGCCGGCTCAACAAAATTAGACTAACCAACACAATGTCACGGTTTAGGGTTTAGGGTTTAGGCCCCCTAAACCCTGAACCCTGAACCCTAAACCCTGAAAGAAAAGAATCCACCCCAATCAAAGCTCCCTCGAATGACGGCTACCGCGGAGATGTACCGGAGCTTCCGGTTCTAACTGCATTGCAGCAGTAGCAGTAGCAGCACAAGTAGCAGCAGGAGCAGCAGCAGCAGGAGGAGTAGTAGTAGTAGCAGCAGGAGTAGTAGTAATAGTAGTAGTAGTAGTAGTAGTAGGAGTAGTAGTAGTAGTAGTAGTAGTAGTGGTAGCGTGGTAGCAGTAGTAGGACTTCCCCGCTCGGTGCGACGCCAAGACCTATCATTTTTCAGACTTGGTGTTATCAGACATGCGGTGGGGAACAGCGTTTTTCTAGTTCTTGAAATTTTGAAAAGCGCTGTTGTGGTTGCTTTTTGTTGCTTCTTGACCCTTGCCCTTCAATCTTGCAGTCAGAAATGCTGGTATCTACAGAACTCGTCTTTGAGTTGTTCTTGTTTTTAGCTGTTTCTCGAGGTCAGGAGTTTCGTGCCCAAAAACTAGCGATCATAATCAGGCTTTGTTGGTCTAATTTTGGTGATCTTGATCTTCATCCAAAGCGTTTGAGAAAAGAGCATCCATGCCCAAAATTAAATGACATCCATGGTCTAGTGCGTTTGAGAACAGAGCACCCCTGCCTAAAATCTGATGACGTCCATGGTCTAGTGCGTTTGAGAACAGAGCATCCATGCCCAAAATCTACCGACATTCGTGGTCTAGTGCGTTTAAGAACGGAGCATCCATGCAAAAAACCTAATGACATCCATGGTCTCGGGCGTCGCACCAGGGGGAGAGCTGGTGGTAGTAGTAGTAGTAGTAGTAGTAGTAGTAGCAGCAGGAGTAGTAGTAGTAGTAGTAGTAGTAGTAGTAGCAGTCAGTAGTAGTAGT